ACAACGTTGGCAGATTAATTCGGATGCTAGAGGTTTTTATTATGCCTTAGTCCGCAGGTATCCTCACCTGTTGTTAAATCATGTGGCAAGTGGGAAGTACACTTGGTGCACAACAGTAAGAAACGAATTATGATTTCCAGCCAAAGAATTCATACCAGTATAAAACGGAAGGATCTTATTTCAAGAGATTTATATTTGGTAACCATAAATACGGCGCTAAATTGCCTTGAAGTGAATTTGTGCCGCTAAAGATTTAATAGAGTGGACCGTGTGCGTATCTGCGGAAACTATCGCGCGTTATTCAAAATATTACATCACAAGGTGTGTTTCCCCTCCATCTAATAAGCATAGAAGTCAGAACGGAGCAAACGAACGACGTTCTGACCATTCGGCCTCTGCCGGCCAAATGGAACAGTTCAGTTCCTCATCCGACCGACTTCCTTCCACTAATAAGGTCAACAACAAAAAGTAACAAAGTTCAAATTCGGCGTAAAAATTGTTTGTGGTGCATTATTGCGCGATTAGGAGGATACGACCTTCAAAAATATCATGAACGATTGAGTTGCTAAAAGTAAGGATGACCAGACCATAAGAGTTGGAAGATGCGAAGCGAAAATTCAAAATAATGGATCAGGTCATTGTCCTTCTTAACCTGTTTGTTTGTTGGGGAATTTCTGAACTTATTACAAACTAGCCTTCTCGCACCTGGGATTCTGATTATGCGAATTTCCGAGAACAAAGGTCAAGCTATAGGTATAGTAGAGATCGGGATGAAGCAAGTGGAGGTTACTTAAACTGTAAGTGTATCTATCAGGACGGTCAAGTATTGCTGGCCACAGAACAAGCGGATAGGTATGCTCAGAGAGCAGAAGAACTCTGAAAGACCATACATTTTGGGGAGAAGTAAAAAGATCGTTAGTGCAAAATTAACTGATTCCTAAGACATGGAAACTGTATTTCAAACATCTGAAGTGTTCTAAGGCCAGTGTGCATCGGTAGTTTCATGAACGTTTGGGTGTTACCGCTTATCACCGAAGAAACATCCCTAGACTTACAGAAAAACAAATGACAAATAGGATGAACTTCTATAGGCTGGTCAGAAGGTGGACTATAGACAATTGAACAGAAGTCGGCATCTCGATTGAATCACCATGTGAACTTTTCTTACTGCCAAACACAATAAATTGCGTTTTTTTGGCTACAGGTCGTAAGACAGTTGAGAATGTTGAAGTTCCAAAATTTCGCTCTACAAATATCATGCGGGGAGTATTCTCTTTTGGGGAGCTTTCCGAGCTCCACATTATACCACGGGGTCAGGAAGTGAACTGCGAATAATATAGAGAGGGAATCCTATAGCAAAACATCTCTAAAAGATTGGAAAAATCGTCTGAGCAGGTCACAATTTGAGAAATAACTTGCTTTGGAGATATCAAGGATTCTTTTATACAGGATTAAGCGAAGTTCATACAGATCTGGAGACCCAGAGGTTGATACCAGAGGTAATTCCACATTTCAGGAGGAAAGGCATTTGGCCAACAAATAGCCCTAACTGGAATCCAATTTAAAGTACATTGTCAATTATTGGTAATATGGTTCAAAAGGAACCGCCTACTCCTTTTATTGTTGCTGGATTTCAGAGACCCCAGCCTGTCGCCTGGACAAAGATCCCCATTGAAACCCTCCAGCATCTCATTCATTCGATGCCAACTACGGTAGAAGCTGACCTAAACGGTCAAAGAAAAATTACCTATAAAGTTAATTGTGAAATATATATATTATTTTAGAAACTGTGGGTATCGTATTAGGGTGCAAAGAACTTCGGGGCATCTCTTATAATTCCAGGCGCAACTGATAGGTTTGTGGTTGAATCTGAAGAAATTGGTATTTAAGCTCTAATGGACACCATTCATCAGGAGTATCGGTCAATTCATTTTACGCTGGAAGAAAAACAGTCGGATGTAACGGGCCAAACCGAACCAAAGGTGTTTTAAGAGACTGACCCCGTTCTGTTTAAATTTTTCAGAATTCGGCACGTGGACTCGTACGCTGCACCTTTCGCGATAAGTCCCACCCGATTCTTACTATTTTCCATATCAGATTTTCTCCTTTTTTGATAATAATATGTTTATGATGCCAGTTTACAGGCAATTGTAAAGAGTTGGTAG